ACGAGTTAGGACCCTAAATTGAGTATAAAAATCGTAAGATTTCTGGGTAAGGGGGTAGGGTGGCGCGCCACCAAGACGCCAGGAATTTTGTCCAGTAGTTTGGGGCAGGCACCCCACACCAACAGTGCGTCCCAAACTTTGGTCAGTAGTTTAGGGTCTGGCACCCCACGCCAGCAGTGCGCCAGGGTCGCCTGGTCCTTTTTCTTTCTGTGCTTCATTCCAGACGTGTTCCTTTGAATCATGACTACATTCTCTTTTCTGTATTAGCTCCTAAAAGCTCTATGGAAAAAGAATAGGAGAACTAGAGGAACGAACAAGAAGAAGAAACGAATAAGCGAAACCGGAAGCTGCAAAACTGGCAGGTTTTTTCTTATATATTTCCCCTTTTGGGTTCCCTCCCTTTTTAATTAAATTAGGATTTAGTCTTTTACCTTTTTAATTTTTTTAATACAATGTACTAAATTGTTAACTTAAAAACTTGAGAGCAACTCTCAGTCTCTCACACATCCCTCATAAATCCTTAATTACATAATTGGCACCTACACTGAATTAAAATAACTTGAGTAGTTACTATTGAATTTTCAAACCTTATTGTCACCCCTAATTCAAAGTCTTGGGTAACTTGAATGTTTAATTAATATAATACCACCAACTAAAAATCCTAACTTAACTTAAATATTAAATTATTATAATACCTCTAGTTAAAAACACTCAATTTAGTATATTTTCTATATTTTATATTTATATATTATTTAAAGCAGACACTTTCCATTGAAGGGTAATGGCTTTTTCGAATGGTTGTGACTTTTCTGATGAGTTGTGGCTTTTATGATAAGGCACAATAAGCACATGTTCACACTATCATTTGTTTGCTATAAATAGAGTTCAGTGGATTCGATTCTCTATTCTTTCATCTTAGTTTAATTTCATTACTATTTTGAATATTTTTTCTTCTATATATTTTGTGTGTGTGTGTTTTATCTCTATTGGATTTCTTTAATTTAACTTTCTATAAAAAAAAAATTGTATTTTCATTTGGGCTAAAAAAAATAGTTCAAATTCTTAACTTTTTAAAGTATTTACATTATTTAGCATGGGATACACATGCAAAGCACGTATTCGTAAACTAGTATAATAATATTAATAGTGTTATAGGTGTGTTAAAAGTGGAAGGTAATGTTCAGTTTATGTCCTAAACTTATTTTCTTAATAGGTGTGGTTGCTTAAAAGAATCACTTAATATAGAATAGAGGGGAGAAAATGTCATAAATAGTCTCTTAACTATAGGAGTTGGACTTAAAATGGTCCCTTAACTATACACTTACTAGATTTAGTCATTTAACTATTCAAAATCTTATCAGGTTTGGTCCCTTAACTATACATTTACTGGTCTTAGTCTCTTAACTATATGCTTACCGATTTTAATCCTTTAAGTATTCAAAAACTTATCAGGTTTGGTCTTTGTCTATTCTTATACAAATAACTTAGGTTTATATTCACGAAACTCTTTGTGAAATTAAAATCTTTAAGCCATTTTTTTTAGTTGTTTCTCTATTCCTGTTATATTTTTTTCAAATTACTCTTATGAAAAGAACAATAACCTCAACGATTCAAAATAAAATTAATGAGGAAGAAGAGATAACTCTTAATTTTATTCAATGGAGAATAAAATGAAATATATAATTGTTGCTAATAACTTGAATATGTATAGTTAAAGCACTAAATCTAGTAAGCATATAGTTAAGACCATCTTCAATCCAACACCAAATTTTACACCAAATATTATTTTGGTTAAAATTTGACGTTTTGGAGCTTCAACCCTACACCAAATCACTTTTTGAATATTATATTATTATTTTCATTATACATAACTTTTACTTTATATTTTCTTATTTTATAAAACAAATGTTTTCTTCTATTTTCACATATTAACTCTATAATAATTCATATTCTTTTCTTATAGCCATTCAATATAAATTATTAATTTTTTAAATAATATACAATTGCTAGCTAATATTATACATACATTATATATAATGACGGATAAGACAAATAACAGTGAAATCCTCGATGAAATATACGTCAACTTTAAGAAAAATTAATATTCAATAATAATACTATATAAAAATAATCAAGTTTTAGTAGGAGTTTAACTTCTTTTTTTAAAATATTCTTCTTCTTTTTTGTGTAAAATTTATTCTTTTTTTTTGTGTAAAATTTAATATAGTAGATTGGAGTTGATTTACACTAAAATAGAATTGAGACCATTCTAATATAAAATTTGGTGTTATGGATTGGAGCCTATAGAACCGTTTAAACCAACTCATAGCTAAGGGGGGGGGACAATTTATGACATTTTCTTGAAATGAGGGAGTATATTACTAATATCTTCTTAAATCTTACCAGATACCAAAGGACTCCTACTTCAAATAAAAAATATTATTTTTATTTCATATTAGATGATCACTTTCTATTTTGCACAATAACTAAGAAATTATTAATAAATTAAACTTTACTATTTTGCCCTTTGTTCATATTAGTTAGCCTTTTGAAAAAAAAATTATATCCTTAAAATTTATTTTAACTTCTAAAGACCATAAGGTTAAAATAGGAAAAAAATAAGAAATTTTATCTTGATTTAATATATCATCAAGTAATATGACACAAATATTTTTACTAAAATGCTCATCTAACGTGGAATAAGTAGTAAAGAAAACAAATATAAATGACAATTGATCATCATTGAGACTGACGACCCAAGTAGAGCAAGCAGCAATCGAAGGATCCAAACTTGTTGGTCAAAATCTACAACACAGTAGAAAAATAATGATGCTGGGTGTCAAAACGTCAGGAACAGCACTAGCTTGCTCTCACTTCTTATCTCCTCGCGCATTCCCTCCTACCGCCGTCACTCTTCGCCATCTCAACCCCTACTGTTCATTTCGTTCAATCAAAATGTCTGCTGAGCAAATCGTCGAACATGTGGTGCTCTTCAAAGCCAAACCTGATGCTGACCCTTCAAAGCTTGCCGCCATGGTTAACAACCTCAACAGCTTGACTTCTCTCAATCAAGTCGTTCATCTCAGTTCTGGTCCCCTTATACGTGACAGATCTTCCTCTTTTTCGTTCACGCACCTACTTCATTCTCGGTACAAGTCTAAGTCCGACTTGGCTGATTACTCTGCACACCCTGACCATGTAAGTGTTGTTAAGCAATACGTCTTGCCGATGGTTGATGACATCATGGCCGTTGATTGGGTTCCGATTGAATTCTCCGGTCCGACTGGTGTGCCGCCTGGTTCGGCGATGAGGCTGACGTTTCTTAAATTGAAGGAGAATTTGGGGGAAAATGAAAAATCACAAGTTTTGAGTGCGGTTGGGGGAATCAAAGAGAAATTCCCCGGGATTGAACAGTTGACTGTTGGGGAGAATTTTTCTCCGGGTAGGGCGAAAGGTTTTTCGATTGCTTCAATTGCGGTTTTCAAGGGAGTGGATGAATTGGAAGCTTTGGAGTCACAAACAGAGCTGGCAAATGAGCAGAAAGAGAAGGTTAAGGATTTTTTGGATGGTGTTGTTGTGGTGGATTATGCTGTTCTTCCTACTCAATCAGCTAGCCTTTGAGAAGGCTTATGATCAGCAGTTGAGGTTAATCTTGCCTCTTTCTAGAGTTAATTGCCCTATGTACTGATGATTTGCGTTTAAACATGCTAAATAAATTCAGTTATCCGTCGTAATTGGGATGTACTGTTTTTGTATTTTGAACTTTTCCAAATGTTTCCTTTTCAATATAGCCTTTTCTCATGCTTGTCATCCAATCTAGTATGAACTTTCTCGTTACTATTTAGCTTCGGTTGCCATACATGAAGGTGACTGCTGTATACACTGCAATAGTGATGTTTTAGCAGGTAGTCGTTTTCCAGGACAAAATGAACCAGATTTGTATGGTTGTTCTCACAAAAGTTGTTTGATTACGCAGGCTATAACCCTCGGAAGGAAGTGATAACATAATAGGTGAAAGATAGAAAGTTTAACCTGTAAAAATGGCATTCAAAACAATGTGGATCATCCCCTGACCTTAAACGCTTCTTGCAATCTCAGGATCTACCATTTCTAGTAGACGACTTCATTATACATTGATTTGAAACGTATTGTTGTTCTTTTGACTACTAGATGCATACAACTGAGTTGTAAGAAGTCCCAGAAGAACCACACCGAATGCAAAAACATCACTTTTATCATTAAGTTGACTAGATCAAAAGTATTCACTGTCCAAGTAACAGTATGTGCCTCCAACTTCTGTTGTTAAGTGATTCTTTTCAAGAAGAACGAATCTTGGAAGCCAAAATGAGAAACCACATCTCTATAATTCTCGTCCAACAATATATTACTTGATTTGATATCTATGTGGAAAATAGCACAGGAATGCAAGTAAGAAAGTGCCCCTGCTATTTCTCCAGCAATACTTTATTCAGGCAATACTTTTGACTACTTAAGTAAGAAGTGTCAGTTCTCCTTATTTTGTATTCGAATTAACTGCTCACTATCTTAGGACTTGATAACACTATTTAGGAACTTAAGTATCGGTTGAAAACTGTATTTTTTCTATATAGCATATCACAAGTGAGAAGGACCATTTTACTTCAATCTTTCTAGTTTTAATTTTATTTAGGCACCTCAGATTTTTTATTTTTTTTTGGTAAAGTAATTAAATGATATTAGAAAGCATCAAGAAGATGCAAAGTCACAAAGCACAATGTGCAAGAAAGCTGCTCCAAACAGAAATATATGGAGCTAGCGTGGCAAAAACTTGAGAACAGTCAAAAGGAGCCCTACTACTCTACTGTACTAGAGATAGAGAACTAACAAAATCCAAAAAGTTATCCACACTGTTTACAGTGGCAAAAAAATGCAACTCAGACTTATTTCCATCTTGCTGTTCCTTTCCGCTCTTTGTCTACCATAATTCCACTTTCAGTTTACCCCACTACTTCCCCCCCCCCCCCCTCTCCACATACTGTCTCTTTCGATTGGGATATATAATTGAAGTACAGCATCTTTTAAGTGGTGACAAGGGTATTTATTGTTTCCATTGAAAGGTTTGGCTGATGTTGATGGATGCTCAACTGCTTCTATAACATGACAATTGCGTGTAGAAACTCTACTTGGTTGTTCTAAAAACAGAGCCCGGTATAGTAATCAGGAGTAGAAAAGGATGCTCCAACACTGTTGATAGTAATGTTCAACTAATTTGAATTATTGAATAAATGGACATGCATCAAGCATGAAATAGTTCATTTACTTCTTTTGCAATATAGCGGCTAATAATTGCCTGGACAGCTAAGTGTAGTAGTATACCCCACTTTTCTTTTCTAACTGAAAGTACTCCTCCTGCAAGGCAGTTGTTATTACTGTTCACCTGCATCAGTAATGAAATTGTCAAAATGAGGAAAATGTGTCTTCGTAGCATAGACATTTATGTGATAATTCTTATAGCAGGGTACGTTATAGAATATAGATAGTATCCAAAACATCAAAGGACAAATTATTGAGCTCAGAATTCACATTCTTTTTCCCCTCATACGAGTCCAATGGCCAACTCCGATGCAGATGCTCAGGTGAACTTGGCCGTAGAACTTGCTGATGATCCAATTCAGGAGGAGATAGAGAAATAGCAAAGGGGCACTTGAAAATGACTTTACAGTTGTCCTATTTTTGCCAATACCAACAACCTTAAAGGACTATGTCTATGAAGCCAGTGTATAGTCGTATACTAATATTGTTCATTGTTAAATAAATTAATGTTATGTTATTGCAATTGGGAACTATGTAAATGCATGTGATTATTAGGGATGGGATCGAGCACCTGAGAAATGGAATGTCGACCACATGGTGAGAGAATCTTATAATACAAGGGCTAGTAACTAGTCAAGTCATTAAACTTAGTCATTTTGATCAACATGGCTGCAAGTGGACTGGGTTTGTGGGGCTAAACTGACTACGACCATCATAATTGGCACCGGCACCGGCACCGGCACCAAATGTTACTAATAGTTGGCTATGGAAAAAAAAAGCATATTCAATATGTCATGCTAATGGGTCAGACGCCGATGAGCACATTGAACTGTCCATGTGGTTGAGAGCCCAGCCCAAACACAACAAGAAGGCAAAACAGAATCGATCTATCTTGCTCTCCACGAAAGCAACTATATATTCACCAATAATTATCCAAAAATAAAGAAATAACAAGTTTTGAAGTAATTTATCTTGAGACACTGGAAGTTTGAATTTGTATTCTAATTAATCAGCACCAACAATTATATTTTAATACTAATCTAATATTTGCTACATCAAAGGTAAATCTCACGAACACGGAACAACTAATATATCATATTGGTTCCTAATCGGCCATCCATATTTTTTGTTTTATTTTATTGCACCTTTGTTGAAATTAACTTGTTTGGTCCTAGTCTTTAATCAAACATATTATATACTAATTAGTTCTTAGTCTAGACAAAAAACATATACAATTGTTGCCTTATTCTCCAAGATTAGTTTATCCTTTGTCAACATTTTATCTTTGCCAACAAGTAGGTTTGACTAAATTTGAAAGGCCAAATGTTGGGAATGGATATATATATATATATAGAGACCAACCTCCTATGGTGGTTATCTCAGAATTCAAACTTAAAAGTAGTCCACTTTTTCATTACTGATGACAAATCTAGTAGTATTCCTTTCTCTGTTACTACTGTTTCCCTTGCTTATATTAAGCTATTTTCTTGTCAAAATTTCCTACTCCATCTTCATAAAACCAAAATTGCTGGAAAAGCGCTTGAAGCGGCAAGGATTCAAAGGAACTCAATACAAGTTGTTGCTTGGAGACCTCAAAGATGTTGGCAATCAAATGGATGAGGCATGGTCCAAACCAATTAGCTTAACCCACGATATTGTGTCGCGTGTTGATCCCTTCACTCACTATATGGTCCAAAAATATGGTAAGTTGATATAGTTTTACCACTATTGTGGTATATCCATAATTTGAACTTTATGAATATTCTAGGACAACGAGCTCAAGTATTAGTAGGTGAAACTCCACCGGTGTAATTTGAAACTCAATGTTGATTCGCTTGAATAATTCTTTTTAACTACTCTAAGTATGAGCTAAAATGAATTTGGTTGCAGGGAAGATATCTCTGAGTTGGCTTGGGACGTCACCAAGATTGATCATCATGGATCCAACACTGATAAAAGAAGTGCTCTTAAACAAGCAAGGCCAATTTCATTTACCACCATTGAACCCTCTTGTGTTGATTCTTACTAAAGGATTGACAACTCTACAAGGTGAAAAATGGGCTATGCACAGAAAGATAATGAATCCTGCTTTCCACTTGGACAAATTGAAGGTTACTTTTTTCAACTTCAACCATGCTTTTTTTTGTGGCTTTTAGTGTAACATTCAACTCACTCAACATGAATTTCAATAAATTAGTAACAAAATTTCAATAAAGTAGATTCTGAAATCATAATTTCAAAAGTACAACGAGCCTTTTGCTAGAGATTACCTAGGTGGTGAGACGACTCTCTCTAAGGAACTTGGCAAAATAACCCTATAACTTGGGGAGAAGAAGTACCACTCTCCAATAAGTCTATTGGAATTGGCTTTGTATCAACGGAATCTCATCATCCATACATAATGAATTGATGTAATCAGTCATCATAGGGCATATCGTACTCATTTTTGTATGTGTTTACAGGGAACGATCCCAACAATTGCAGAAAGTTGCACGTTTACGATAGAGAAGTGGATGAAAACAATTAGCCCTGAGGGGACTTCAGAAATAGATATATGGCCTGAATTTCAACAACTTGCCGGTGATATCATTTCAAGAACAGCATTTGGAAGTAGCTTCGAAGATGGAAAGAAGATCCTAGAACTACAAAAAGAACTACAACAACTTGTGATTGAGGCTATGGGAATGTTATATATTCCTGGCTTTAGGTAAACTCCCTTACAATTATAGCATGTCACTTTCTTAACATCAAATGCTTCTTCTTCTGTTCTGAAAAGTGAAAAATCATGATACACAGATTTGTTCCAACGAAAAAGAATCGAAGAAGAAAGGACTTGGATAGAAGGATCACTTCAATGCTTAAAACAATTGTGGACACAAAAGAGAACATGATCAGAACAGGGGAAACAAGGGGAGATGACTTGCTTGGCCTGCTGTTGCAATTTAACAATGAGAATAATTCAGTAAATAATAGTCAGATGACAAAGGAGGACATAATAGAAGAATGCAAACAGTTTTACCTTGCCGGTCATGAAACAACATCGAGCTTGTTGACATGGACTCTCATTGTGTTGGCTATTCATCAGGATTGGCAAGAAAAGGCAAGGGAAGAAGTTCTACAAGTTGTCAGGGAGAAGAATCCTGATGCTGAAGAAATAAGTCACCTCAAAATTGTGAGTGTTCATCTTTCGAAACAAATTCAGTTTGGCTTCTTCGTTTATACATGGTTAAAATTATTTTTTATGTATATATAGTAGATGTTGAATCCTCTTTGACTTCTTCGTATGTTTACATTTTTCATATTTTGAACCCCTGAGAGAATCCTGGTTCAGCCATCGCACGAATTAGTGAGATTCTTTTCTTTTTGCAGGTAACTATGATACTTAATGAAGTGCTTCGGCTATATCCACCGGTGATTTCCTTGTACAAACGCGCTTACAAAGAATGTAGAATAGGAGATCTCTCTATTCCAGCAGGAGTGGATCTGACACTACCTATAATGCTAATTAATCGCGACATTGAGCTATGGGGTGACGATGCAGATGAATTTAAACCAGAGAGGTTCGCGGAAGGAATTTCACATGCTTGCAAAGATCCAACACAGATGGCATTCATGCCATTTGGATGGGGACCAAGGACTTGTATTGGCCAAAATTTCTCCATGATAGAAGCAAAGATTGCACTGTCTATGATACTAAAGCAGTTCTCCTTTAAGCTCTCACCAACTTATGCTCATGCTCCTTACACTGTTATGACTCTTCAACCCCAACATGGAGCTCACATCATGTTTCACTCACTTAACTAGGATAAATAGAGTTATTATGTGTTGAAGGTTATCATAAAATAAGAAAAAAAAATCATGTCGTTTCCTTTCCCTAAAACTTTGTTCGGATGGTTGTTACAGATTGTTTCATAATATATCGTATCGTATTATTTGTATTGTATTGTATGGTTTTGTTTAAATGAATATAGTGTTTGGATAGATTGTATCATTTTTCGCCATTACATAATGTCACACATTTATAATTTGAATGATAAATTTACAAAAAAAAAAGAGTAGGGTATGAGGTAGAGCTACTATGAAAAGGTAGGATAAAAGAGGAAATATAACTATTAAATAATATAATAAATAAAAACAAAATGAGAAGAAAATATTAAGATAACGACACGAACACACCAAATCGGTCGTTACATAAAATGGGTCTTTTCGTCGTTTCCTAACGATAGATTTAAACGATACGATACAATAGAATTTAAGTAACAATCAAAACAAACATTGTATTTAATTAACAATAGAATACAACACAACAGGTAACAACCATCCAAACAAGGTGTAAGTTGAGCTTGTTAATTGAATTTGTTAAAAAAAACTACAGGAATTTCAAATACAATTAGAGTGATTAAGCAATAATAGCATTCACTGCGTGCAACAAAAAAAAATAGTTCCTTGTTGATGATGAATAGTGACGGTATAATCCTCATTGATACAAATCTCTCTAATTCATCGATAAGAACGCCGAAATTGTTTGCGGCAGGTCCCATCTTGATAGGGAGCTTATATGTATTATTTTGATGAGTGACAAATTACTTGAGTGAACTAGGTTCACTGTACGTATAATTTCAAATCATGATTTTTAATCATAATTTCAAATTAGTGTTTGGACATGTAATTTGAAGGAACCAACCCGGTGAAATCAGACCAAATGATTTCAAATCTCAAATCTATATAAATCTATTTACCTATAGTACTTTAAAATTATGAATATCTTTAGAAATATTGATTGGACTTTTGTACTTCAGTAAAAGTAGCCATATCATTTACTATTTTTCTTAAATACTTTTGTTGTATTGTGTTCCGTTAGGAGGTGATCTAGTGATTTAGACTTTCGTAGGAGATTCTAAGATTGTTAGTGATTTCGTATCATGTACAACTTGTAGTGGTTGCCACAGTTGTCTTGTGTCGTGATATCTTGTGGATAAAATTCATGTGTTGTGAAATGAGACTAAATTTATTTATTTTCCCGAGTTACTGGTTAAGGAGAGACTTTCACTGCAGTGAGACTGTCGTAGCAGACTTCAACTCTTTGTAGAGGAGGTGGGCATGATATCAGGTGTCGTTGTAACGAGTCGATCATTGCCACATTGGGTCAGTCATAGCCAAGGGACAACCGTTGTGGTGGATGATGCGAGAAAAAGATGTATGTTTCAGTCAATTTATTCAATTCTTTCCCTCATAACTTAAAAAAAACTCGACCAAAATTTTCAAAGAGGCGATTTTTTCAAAACTAACTAGGGCTATTTTCTTCTCTGGGGTGAGTTTTTTCGTCACCTAGAATTCATGAATATAATGGAAAAATATATGGATAGATATGATAAGCGGTTCTTTCAATTCTAAGTTGTTAAATTATACTTCTTAAGATGAAATTGATGTTCTAATTAACACTTGTTTATGATGTTGAGGAGAACTAGAGCCCTATAAAATGATTTCCTATAGCATAAAATTCTTCTAAAGCGGCTAATGGAAAGAAACTATGTGAACTAGCTATTGTGATCATTGGGAAATTGTCATATGATGAAATAATCCTTGAGTAATGAATTAGACCTTGAGAAAGGGTAGAATGAAAAAGGTTTCCTGAGCCTACATCCTGGACGTAGCCAACACCCGATGTGATTACTAGTTTGAGCGTATCCATAACATGATATTATGCATGAGTATACCTTTTGTAACACCTCGGACTTCGAAAAGGACTAAAGAGGGGTAACGAGCAAGTCCATGAACCCAAAATGGACAATGGACCCTTCACGGCACCCTAAACGGTCCGTTTAGGGATCCACTGCCCGTTTAGAGCATGGTGGACGACCGTCCAAGGCTGCCAAGGTGAAGTTCACCTAGATGAGACCCTGTACGGTCCGTTTAGGGGTCAGTACAAGTCACCCATAAATTTTTAAGTTTTGGGTGTCAACTTCAAACGATCATATCTCTCAGCACATAATGAATTAGGTGGCCCGTGACCTATCAAATTTATGGTCTTTGAGTCCTCTTTCCAACGCCACCAGGTTTTTCTCATTTCGAGTTTGGAGTAAAAAGTTATATTTGTTTTAGTGTTGCCCTGTCGAGCAAGTGAAGCTTGACAACCGGCTAGACGGCCCGTGAAGTGTTTCACGGACCGTGAAACCTTAAACAGTCCATGAAACCTCCCTTTTAAGGCACCTTTTCAGTTTTAAAAGTTGGGGTTATTTTGGTCTTTCTCCTATGAATTTGATACTTAAACTACGTCGTTTTAACCCTTATTCTAACCCTAAACCACGACGTTTTACACCTAATTGAGGGCTTGGTAAGTGTTAATCAGTTCTTTTACATTCACTAACAATTCAAGTCATTAGAGTAATGTTCCAAGAGGAGAAAAACTAGGGTTTCGAGCGTACTTCAAGTTTTTTTTATTCCGCCAAAGAACTTCGTTCTTCCAGCTGGTATGTAAGGTTATTCATAGTATTGGACTAGTTCGTCCTCATGCCCTACATCTCAATTCAGTCAGAAATCGTTACATCTAAAGGATCCATTCATAGTTCTTGGTGTTTGAATTCAATTCTTTAAAAGTTGAGGTTTTGATTCCTATTTTGGCATGTGAATCTTATAATGTTGTTCATGCTTAGTATCACATGAACCCTATTGATTTAGTAAAGTTATGTGTTCAAAGAAAATTGCATGGAAGTTCCTCATGTATTGATTTTGGGCTTGAAAGATAAGTTCATGAGCCGTTTTAAAAGTGTAAGTTTTGAATAGAATCCTAGAAAAGAGAATCAAATGTTTTCATATGTACCATTTGACAGTTGAGAAAGAGCATAATTGATGTATTGAAAAGTGCTTCAGAAAAGCAAAGTGACAAGAAAGTAATAATAGTCCCTTCCTTTGTAAAGGATGAATTGAGCATAAAGTTATATTGATTATTTTGGGAGTAGTATCGAGCACCGAACTGGATAAGAGTTTATTATAACTCAAAAGTCTCATAAAACTACGTAGCCGGCGTAGGATATAAGAATAGCACTGATTCTTCATGTGACTCCCCATTGCCTCTAAGAAGGCCTATTAGATGGATTCATAGTTACAGTATCATCCTATACCCCCAGTAAGATATAGGATGTCCCTTGCAACATGGATGAAACGGTGTATCATTGCTAGACTCATAGTAATGGTTGTCAATTAGAGAAACTCCCCACAAGTAAAGTATATTATTTTCATATTGATTTTATCGCATATCTTATTTTAAAGTTTAAAGGATTTTCACTTCATATCCATGTATTGATTTAGTTGAGTTGCTTGAAGTCCTTCAGTTCAGTTATTGTTTAATTCAGCCATATTACATACTCGTACATTCAAATGTACTGATGTCTTTCGACCTGCATTGTTGAGATCATTTTGCGCTTCAGACAGCTTTGGTGAGTCTCCTTGCTTTTCGAAGAATTTCACATTTAGATTCATGTTATTTTTGAGTTGTCGTGGATCTTGTCCCGACATCGATCATAGTATTAGAGGCTTCATAGATAGTTAGAGTTGATGAGTCTCTCAGTATGTTCCTTTCTGTTTCGAGATCTTGAAAACTATTACTTATACTTTATTAAGTATTTCCAGACATTTATTTGAGTTGAGTTTAATTGAGACTATTGAGTTTAATTATGCATTTAAAGTTTTCAATTTTCTTGAGTAAGTCTTCTGCTAAGTAGTCAGTCAGGCCAAGGGTTCACTTAGGGACCAACAATGGTTCTCGAGTGTCGGCCACGTCTAGGCTCGGGACGTGACAAACTTGGTATCAGAGCACAGAGTTCAAGAGTCCTAGGGTGTCTATGAAGTCGTGTCTGTAGAGTCAATTAAAACTTAGATCTTATTTTTCTTTTCTAAGGATCATGTAACACAGCCTTAACAAGATACCTCTACACTTTTGAATATTTCATAATAGAGGATTAACTTTTTCAACATCCATAAAGTTTTCAAATTACTATGTAACATATAAATCTATACACCAAAACATAACAAAAATAAATTAAATAGATTAGAAGTCTAACACATCAAGAATTATCGCAAACAATCAAGTATAAAATATTCATTGTCCTATCAACATTTTTAATACATAATCAAACTCAAGTAAAATCTTCATTCAATCTTTTTTCATAATTCCATAAGATTCAAATTGTAAAAATACTAATATCATGTACCACCTCAGATAGTGTCAATAGATGTGAAATTTTAAGAAGAGTTTTTCATTCTAAAAACTTAAGTAGTTCAAGAATCACTAGCATATATAAAAACATTCTTCAGTTTTCAATTTGGGTGTAGAGCACAAAATAATGTTAGTTAGCACAAAATTGCTTAGTAGCACAACAAATATCTAATACCCAATCTTTCACTTTCACATATTATCCATAAAATTCACTTGAGAAATGACCACAACAATTTTATCATCTGCTTAGTCACATTTATTTTTACTTAGCGGGATTATCATTTCTCCGAATCTTCTTCACATAAGGAGCATGTTGATTTATTTCACCACACACAAATAATAATCATTAAAAATATATACACATATTATCATTACATACCTTCGTCATCTTTTATACTTTTCCAAAACTGACAATGCACACTTAATAGATCAAACAACATGCTTTATATACTTTTTCTCAAATAATATGCTACATTATTATCGGTGATCAAAATATTAAGCAAAGTCATCCAATTAAATAAAAGAAACCGATAAATATATTCTAATTCTTTCTAATTATCTCTTTGAAAAATATCTCTAGTAATCCAACACCAATTTTTTAACCACAAAATCTCAATATTGTAAAACTCAAAAATTGATTCCAATCTAAATGTTAGGCTAATCTCTTTTTCTTTTTGAACTGACAAGTGTATATGCGTATCAAATTATTTAAAAGTAATACACTACTTCAAATAAGGATCAATTTGATTGATTATCA